ACTATCGCAACGCGAATTTGACTATCGCAACGAGAGAATCGCAATGCAATTTTCATTTCGCATTGCGATTCTTTCGTTGCGATAGTCAAATTCACGTTGCGATAGCCATTTTCGCGTTGCGAAAGTAAACTATTCTTCTTCTGCAAATTGAAACTTGAATGGATTGCATTACTTCAACCAAAAGAGAACCAAAAACAAATACTAACTTCACAGGGTTAAAGAATAAACAGTTTAGCAGTATTGGCAGCAACCGAATGAATTTACTAAGCAATCTAAGTGAAATGGTTAATCTAAGTGAAATGGTTAATCTAAGAGAAATTACGAGTAAATTTATCATCAAGTTAAATATGAAAAATATTAAACTTACCTCGTTGCGTAGAGTATGAACCTCATTCTACAACGATGCTACCATCTCACATAGAGCGGCTACCTCACCACATAAAGTAGACATCTCAACATGCCATGCACCATTGTCATCGCGTAAAGTACCGACCTCCTCACGCAAGGCATTGACCTCATCACGTAACTCCCCTAACTCATCCCGTGGAGGTGGAGGTGGAGAACAGGGAGATAAACGTCGTGGCATCTTTGTCGGTCGCCTATCATGAGGTGATGGTAGAGAAGAGGCTCGATGATGTGACAGAATAGGTGATGGCTCTCGTTGTGGAGGTGTATAGTCGGGTCGATCAGGTGATGGCTCTGGGTTAGGTGATGGATCTTGAAGTGGAGGCTGCTCATCATCCGTGCTATCAAAAAAATGCTTACTAGCTTGCCACCAATCAGTGGCAAGCTCAGCTTCCGTGGGTGTCAGCCTCTGTAATGGAGTGTTGGCCTCCTAACAATATAAAAGCTCAAACAAAGTTAAACATGTACTAGTAATAACTTGTTTATAAACATATGGTAGTATTTGTGTTAACTTACATTATTTATTGTCGTATATGGTAGTAAATCTTCCCATTGCTGCAAGGTTCGTTTCCTCTTTCAGGAAATAGCCCTAGGAATATCATTAGAAGTTTTTAATGCATATGTCTGCATGGCGGGAAAGGCCTCAAATATCCAAATCTATAAACAATATAATAACAAACATTAGTAATTGTTAAATAATTAATTATAATTTTGGAAACATTATATAAAAATTCTTACCTTAAAGGCCCAAATAAAGCCTGATAAAGTGTATTTGGAACCATCGCCACGCAAACTTTTTTGATCATCAAAGGCAGACGACAACTTATTCCATGTAGCTTTCCATATATACGAACCCCACGGAAATAGGTTCCATGCATTTAGGTCCTCTACCAATTTAATTAGATCATTAGGAATAGGTTGTCTGGCCTCTCTGCCTAAAAAGTCGGTACGCAAAAGTATTATAAGGCATACTCGGACAACATCGACGTCATCCATCCGAGTAAAACCATCTTTCTTATTCAATAATCTCGTCAAGTCTTCCAAGTGTAAATTTGGCTTCTCCATTGACAGCTCAGGAAAAACCCGGGATAACCATGATAGGCGGGTAATATGTCTAGTGTACCGACCTACATCATCTTGTCCGAAGCGTAGACCGGTGATTAAGTAAAACTCCTCCCGCCCAAAACACGTATATGCTGGTGGAAAATCAAACCATATCTCTTCATCACGACGTTGTATAGTCTCTGGTAGATCGCTAGTCATGGTTTGAAGAAACAGATGGGTCAACATAGCATCTCCACCCGGATGTTGTACTTTCAACCATGGCTCGAAGCAAGTATCCTCAAATATTTTTCTTTGTGCAGGTGAAAGCTTCGACGCAATTGTTTTGGCCAGTCTTACTTTATTTCTTAAGGTTAATTGAGCCGAATAAAAGTTCTACAAAAACAATAAACATACCAAGTTAGATATACCAAAAACTACACTGTGAAGATATACCAAGAACAATAAACATAAAGAGTAGTAGTTTATTCTTCAAACTTAAATTTGCAACACTGTGAATTTAGTATTTGTCTTTGTTTTTTTGTTGAAGTGATGCAATTCATTCAAGTTTCAATTTGCAGAAGAAGAATAGTTTCTGAAACTTAAAATCGCAACACGAAAATGAAAATCGCAACACGAAAATGAAAATCACAACGCGAAACTAAAATCGAATTGTGATTCTGACGTTGTGATTTTCATTTCGCGTTGCGATTCTCGGTTTCAAATACTAAAATTGAAACTTGAATGGATTGCATTACTCCAACCAAAAGACAAAACAAAGACAAATACTAAATTCACAATGTTTAAAGACTAAACAGTTTAGCAGTATTGGCAGCAATCGAATGAATTTAATAAGCAATCTAAATGAAATGGTTAATCTATTATTGAAATTACCAGTAAACTTATCATCAATTTCAATATGAAAAACCTAATAATAATGCAAAATTTTCAAAATAAAAATAATTAAAAAAATTAACTTTCGGTGGTTGATTTGGTTGATTTTCCATTTCTAACAATGAATGATTGTGAGGGTGGCTCTGAGAGATGGAGATAGACGGATTTCGCCGGAGATGGGGACTGATTTCGTCGGAGATGGGGACGGATGTCGTCTTAGAGAGTGAGAGATGGAGATGGGACTGAGTTGTGATTTAGGGTTTTGGGTTATGAGTTGCGATTACGAGATATACTGTGGATGGTTCAGTGTTCCGATATATTAATATTCGTGTTTGGAATTTGAAAAAAAAATACACGTTGCGATAATAATGGCGATTTGAAAATCGCATTGCGATAGTCAGCATCGCGTTGCGATAGTCAGAATCGTATTGCGGTTTACATATTCGTATTGCGATAGTAAGAAAATCGCAACGCGAATTTGGAAAATCGCAATGCGATAGTCAGAATCGCGTTGCGAATCTGGAAACTGATTTGCGATACCGGAGATCGCATTGCGAATTATCGATCGCATTACGATTTAGTTGGTCATTTTGGCAAATCCAAAAAAAGTTGGTTAAAATCATATATTATAAGGCATTTTTGGTATTTCTCTCTATTTTAAAGACAAATGATCTAATTACAAAGCAGGCCATTAAACGTTTTAGGATTTTGGAAGAATGGCTCCAAACTTTCCAACTTCGCAATTTGGCTAGTATTCTCAATTTAGGATTTTTGTCAAAATTTCCTAAATTCTAGAGTTTCAGATTTGGGGGAAAATTGGGGTGTTACAGTCTCCTTGGCCGTTCTATTTCACAAGGAATAAATCATTCTCGATATCTACGAGTTTGAGGCGATGAGAAGGCTTCCCGATACCATAGATCCGATTACGGAGGATGTTGTACCCTACTCGGTGACCAAGAACCTTAACGACGAGCGTTAAACCCATACTTTTGATAGCAAGGCTTTGAACTCACTCATAGAAATCGATGGTAGGGATTCCATCAGAGGATCAAACAATGATGTCTTCGTCGAGAAGTTCAATATCATCATCGTCAAGATAGACTCTTGGAATCATGGGTGGACTCATTAGAATCTGTAACAATATCTTTGTAGGAGACAACTGGTCGGGCAGCATCGCATTCCATTTGAGGAGGAGGATCATTGGAAGCGACAGAAGGATCAAGCCGAGCTTCGTCTCTACGCCTTCGATTTTTTGGACAGTCCGGGATCAGGCGGGGCTTAAGAGGATTTCTATTTAAAACCTAATATCATCTACTTAATACCCTGTCCCTACTTTAGTTTGGGTTAATAAATAGTAAACGAAGAGAATTCTAGAAATTGAGTGGATAAATGATAAAGAAGCCTTAGGTAAGTCGGTTTTGATTTAGTTCCAAGTGGTGCCCCAAAACTAAGTCGGTTTGTATTGTCTTCGCTATGATTATTTTAGTATGTTGTGGCTAATAGCTATCACTTGTTTCAATTTAGTTGAATAAAAACAATTCTTTTAATAAAAAACAATAAAGGAAATGTCAACTGCCTTATCTTGTAGTACTATGAATTTTCGATTGATAGTTGCACTAATTTTTTTTTCTTAACGAAATCTTAGCCTATTGTCTCCTGTGGAAAAAAGAATGGGAAAATCATTGTTCATTCCCTTTGCTTACGAATTATAAAATAGACTAAGGAAGTAAATTAATTTATTTTTGAAAAATTAATTAGGTTGATATAACTTTTGTCCTCATTTTTTATTAATTGGAAGTAAATATAAAATGGAGTTTCAAATATAATCTTTATAATTACTTATTTTAGAAAATAATTTTTTTTTGTCCACTAGTTCCAAACTTCGCCTTAATTAATTAGGACTAACTCAAGTCACACACCTAGTTTCGATGGGTGAGTCTCTTAACGAGATTTTCTGCATACATAATGACTTAAACATGAAACATTACTTAAGCGATATCAAACTGCTTATCACTTGAAACCAAACCCTGTTGATTTACAAAGTAAAATTTTAAATTCAATCACTAACACAATTTTATTTTCAAAATTATATAAATGGTTGTTAGAAACAAAATTATTATAAACTCAATAAAAATATTTTATACTAAACAAAATATGACATAAAATATCAATGATGTCAATAACTAGATTAAAATCTTGATTAAAAATAGATATTTAATTTATAACTTCTAAGTACATAAATTTAATCTCAAATTTTGTTAAATTAGAAACCGAAGACAAATTTGGAAATAAAATTGTAAGTAAGTTGATGACAGAAAATTCAAACTCATTAATCCTTAGTCTAGACAAATTCAATGGTTTGGTATACCAATTTATCAACAACTTCGCAGTGCACATTTGATTTGACCATTAAAAAACAAATATAGAAAATGAAACTGTGATTGATTTGTTTTGGTAGACAAACTGTAATTCAATTGACACACGTTCTTGACCATTCACCCCATCCTACATGGAACATTCCATTTCTTTTATTTTTCTAATCTTACTATTAATCGATTGTGATAAACTTCGTTATTATTCTTTTTTTTCTTTCTATTTTTAAGATAATCCCTTTGTTATATATATATATATATGACCTTGAATCTCTCAAACTTTTCTATGAACTGCTTTTCCTTGTATTTGTGATATGAACTGCCTTTCATCATTCTCACATACCCTCTTCTTTTATTCAGTTTCGGTTTTCGTTCTTCATTGGTTTTATGTCTTCTCTTTCATCTGGGGTTGATCTGAAAAAGATGTCGAACGCTTCGTTGATGACGAGTTTGGGGTCCGAGACCGACGCCGGAGGAATGAACGTTGACGAAAAGAAGAGAAAACGGATGATATCGAATCGAGAATCGGCTCGACGGTCAAGAATGAAGAAGCAAAGGCTCCTGGAACATTCGGTGACTGAAATTGCATCGTTGAAGATCGAAATCCATGAAAACAGTAACAAGTACCAAGTCCTGATGCAAAGGACTGTTGCTCTGGAGTCTGAAAACAAGGCTTTGAAGGCTCAACAAATGGAATTGGCTCAGTATTTAGGGAAGCTGGAAATGATGCAAACTCCGATGGAATCATTGCAGTTCGATTTGATGAATCAGAGAGGAGGAAGCTTTGGGGATCAAATTGTTGAAGTTAACGAACCCCCAATAGCTCAGTCTTGGCAATGCCACGGTTTAAATCAGCCTGCCATGGTTCGGACCTCTACCGAGATGTTGAACTATTATTGTACATAAGGACAAACCGCATGATTCTATATTACGGGATAAATTTATAAAATTTCAGAGAATAATAAACTCGTATAATTTTAAGAGACGTAAATGGATTAAAAGAATTTGAAATTTCAGAGAGATAACTATCCTCAACGTTTCTTTTCGATCAATCGCCGAATGTATAGGAAATCACTACATTCATGGATTTCTGGGAATGTTTGTTTTTTCATCTGGTAAAAAATAAGATGGGATAATTACTAATTTTGTATTTTAATTTCAAAGACATACAAGATAAGATTGATTGTGATTGATTATCTTATTTTTATCCTTTTCATTTCATTTGTCTCTTTGCCTTTGGATCAAATGAATAGTAAGATGGTGTTTGTTTGTACTATGCAAGCTCTTCAAATTATTTATATCTGTGTCGCGCAGAAATTAGGTTTCGCAGACTGTTTGTTTTTTAGAATACAGAAGCTCTTCAAATGTCTGCGCGAGCTCTTCTTGGTGCAGACTTAATTTTATGTCTTCAAAGGTCTTCAAACCTCTTAAAGAACAATTATAAAATATAGTTATTTATTAAAATAATTTTAAATAATTTAATAAGGTTATTTATTTTAAAATAATTTATTTTAAAATATGGATTGATTTATTTTAAATAATTTATTAGTATGGATTGATTTATTTTAAAATATGGGTTATTTATTATTGTAGTTGTATGGATTGATTTATTTTAAATAATTTATTAGTATGGATTGATTTATTTTAAATAATTTATTAGTATGAATTGGTTTATTTTAAATAATTTATTTGTATGGATTAATTTATTTTAAAATATGGATTGATTTATTATTGTAGTTGTATGAATTGATTTATTTTAAAATATGGATTGATTTATTATTGTAGTTGTATGAATTGATTTATTTTAAATAATTTATTAGTATGGATTGATTTATTTTAAAATATGGATTGATTTATTATTGTAGTTGTATGGATTGATTTATTTTAAATAATTTATTAGTATGGATTGATTTATTTTAAAATATGGATTGATTTATTTTAAATAATTTATTAGTATGGATTGATTTATTTTAAATAATTTATTTGTATGGATTGATTTATTTTAAATAATTTATTTGTATGGATTGGTTTATTTTAAAATATGGATTGATTTATTATTGTAGTTGTATGGATTGATTTATTTATTTTAAATAATTTATTAGTATGAATTGATTTATTTTAAAATATAGATTGATTTATTTTAAATAATTTATTATTGTAGTTGTATGGATTATTTAAATTTCAGTATTATAAAACTAAAATTATTTAAATCTCAGTATTGCAAAACTCTTTTAAGTTTAAAAAATCAGTTTATTTATATTTCAGTTCATTTTAGCAGTCTGCAGACGTTAAAAAACAAATAGTCTTCTTCTTGCAGACTGCAATGGTCCACCTCTTCTACTGCAGATGCCTGCAGATGTGGTCCGCAGACTGCATACATTTTACCTCTGCAAAAACAAACACCTCCTAAGTGTCAAAAATGTTCACGCTACCTACAAACTTTCATTGCAGGGCAAGGAAAGAGAACTGCAGGGTTATCCCTTTCCCCAAAAACTTATTTTTCTTGAACATGAACTGATAAATCTCACCTCGATTTAAACTCGAAATTTATAATTTAATATTGATTTGAATTTGATGATTTATTGTTTACTATATTTTAATTTATATTAAGATATAATCTAATTATTCAAATTTATTTTGTTCACTTAACTTTTCTATTAAAATTTAAATTAAAAACATTTTTATTTCAAACAAAAAAATTAATTCGATTCACAAGCTATTGAAATAGTTTTAAGTACAAGTATCTACTCGATATCTCAATCTCTTTAAGCTCAACTTGATAGTTATGATAAAAGTTAAATTATCACATTCATATGTGTAAATTTTTGTTCATCAAATTTAAAAGAGTTATGTTTCGGTCACTAACGTTATCGATTGTCATATTTTAGACACTTATGTTATCGATTATGATATTTTGGTCACTAAGTTGTTAAATTTTGTTGATTTGATGATATGAAACATTAGTTTCAATTTGTCTCCTAATTTTAGATAAAATATTAATTTGACCTTGAAATGTAGACAATATATCATTTTGATCCCTAAACTTTAGATAAAAAATCAATTTGATTCCTAAATTAAACCAAAGTGTCACATCACAGGCCACCACTCACCATTGTCGTCACCCTTCACCATCGATTTAGATTTAGATTTTTGGTGTCCTTATTTTAAAAGAATATTAATTATAATTTATTATTATAGTTTAATTTTTTAAAGAAAGTTGAAGAGTTGTAAGCTAGATTTGTTGAGTTCAAGGTATTTTCTAGTGAAACGAACATCATGTTCGCATTTAAGAGGTTTAAAAGGAGTGAATGATCAAGAGTTTTGAGGTCTAATAATCGACGATGATGACCAACAACAATGGTGGTGAGTGTTGCTGGTGACATGAGACTTTGATTGAATCAAGATGTCAAATTGATATTTTATTGTTTAGGGTTCAAATTAAATATTTACTATTTTTGAACGTATCATGTTATCAAACTAACGTAAGTCGACTCAGTTACCAAAATATAATGAAATGGAACATAACTTTTTTTTTTTCAAAATTAGTGATAAGAATAAAACAAACCGAAAACAAAAGGGAACTTGAGTGTAGTTTGCCTTTTATTTTAAGAGCATATACCTTCATAGTTCCAATTAGTGCAAAATATTTTGGCGTTCTTATTTTAAAAGAATATTAATGATAATTTATTATTATAGTTTAATTTTTAAAGAAAGTTGAAGGGTTTTAGGTTAGATTTGTTGAGTTCAATTTATTTTCCGGTGAATCGAATATCATATTCGCATTTAGGAAGTTTAAAAGGAGTGAATCGAAAGTTTTGAGATCTAACAATCGACGATGATGACCAACTATGATGGTAGCGAGTGTAGTTGGTGAAATGAGACTGATTGAATCCAGATGTCGAATTGATATTTTATTGTTTAGGGTTCAAATTTAATATTACTATCTTTTAGCGTATCATGTTATCAAACTAAAATAAGTCAACGACTCAGTGGCCAAAATATAATGAAATGGAACATAACTCTTTTAAAGTTGGTGATAAGAATAAAACAAATCGAAAACAAAAGGAACTTGAGTGTAGTTTGTCTTTTATTTTAGGCTTACTACAAAAATAAATGCATAAACTTTGCCTCGAAAAATATTTTAGTGCTTAAAGAATTCTTCGTTAAAAATAAGTGTCTAATGTTTATTCGTTATCATTTTATGTGCCTGTATGTTAACCGCAATTAAAATTTTGCATTAAGTGACACGTGTCACGTTCTGACATTTTTGAATTTTTTTAAAATATTTTATATTAAAAAAAGAATAGTGCATCATCTTTTCCCCTCTCCCTTCTCCCTTCTCTCCCTCCCCTTCCACGGTCGAATGTCAAACAACCAGCCACCACATCTGATCAAACGGTCGATTACCATAGTCAATTAAAGAGATTTTTATGGATTTGAAACCCTAAAATGAAAATTTTCATTTACACAGTTTTTTGGTGTTTGATTGGTTGCGAAAGTATGAGGCTATTGATTGTGGGTGGTTAAACGGTCACATGTTGTTGGGTGTCCGATCGATTGATGGTGTTGAGGGCGACCGGTGGTGGCAAAGGGATCAAAATTAAAGTTGTTATAGAGGTATTACTTGCATCAATAGTCAAGCAATTTGCACACACTTGTTATTCAGTTTCTGTAACAAATGGTACATGGCAGCAACTCTATTATGGTACTGGTATGTAAAATCAGTAAGTTTGAATATTCATTTGTTTCTGGAACTCCCGACCTTCAAAATCAAATGCTCAGTCAGAGAAATTACAAACTTCTCAATCTATAATAATAAAAAAACACAGGTGATAAGGATGTTGGCAATTTAATTAAAAATGGAAATGAGAAATTAATTTATTTTAAGAAATTGGCCTATCTTTTTTAAGCATTGATTGTGGAAAACTTAACAAACAGCAGCACACAAATTTATTCTCGGATGACTCAATAGTTTGGTTTACAGAAACACCCATCTGAATACACAAGATGGAGGTTGAAGAAAAGGTTAAAACGGACAAATGCAGTCCAGACATACAGCAATAACATAGTAAACATAAAGCAGGGTAGATTATAGCACTTTAGGTTTCATGCCTCGTGCAACTTCACCACGGTGACAGGGCAGGAACCATTATTCACCAAATAGTTGCTTACACTGCCCAATATAACCCTGCATACATTTTAATAAATAACAACATCAACCAAAAATAATATCTACTCTGACATGCATATGTGCCATAAAGCACCTACATGTAACGACACCATACAAATACATTGACAAAATACTTTTTTTTTTAAAAAAAAAACAGGACACAAGTACAATAGGACACGATAATAAAAAATGTTATATTAAAATACTTCATATGAAAAGATGATAATTCACGTAAAGTATTGATAGTTACCGATAGTCATAAGATCGATAACAAAATAATATATATATATTTATATTAGTTTTAGAAGTTTTCTTAGATTTGAGGGGTTTGATGTGTTCATTCGAAAATTCGAACAATGAAAAACATTATTTCGAAAAGTCGAACAACATAACTCAAATTAACCTCAACAAGTATTGGAGGAGATCGGAGTATTAGCACATCAAACCATTAAATGAATATTGTGACTTTGTGTGAGTTTCATGAAAAATCAATTCTAAGAGAAAAGGAATGCAATGCAAAATTCTTGATACTAATCTTGCTACAAAAGACGATCGGTGAAAAGAAATGATTAGCAGACAACGATGGCCGAAAAAGTTCAACATAAAAAATAAACTTTTTTAATTTTTAGTGAAAAAATGGATACACCCCTAATGTTCAATGTCCAAAACAACATCGTTCTGGACATCAATAGCGCGCCAAAACGATATTATTTTGTCGACATCATCATAGTTTGACGACAAGGTGACTTAATTGAAGTCCAAAACCAAAATTTAATACCACTTGAAAAAATCGAAAGTTCAAAAATATAAACAATACACCGGCCAAAACTCAGTAGTAGCTGGTGTAATTTATCCTAAGAAAATACCCACGTAGAAAAAGAAATTTCAAGCTATTGGTTTCAACCCACAAATAGATCACAAGATTCTCATGTGAACAAACACTAGTTTTAAGAAGAAAGAGAGATATAATGATGAAATAGGTTCACCTCTTAATTTTACCAAGCCCTCTGTTCCCTACAATCAAGCAGCTGAGAGGGATTTTATCGATGGCCTCGCAAATCTTCTCACGAGGATCACCCCAGTATACCTTCATCAGCACCTCAACCTCGACATTCCAAACACAATTTTAAAACGTTAAAACATAATAATAACTTCCTGTGTTTCAAATTCTTCTCATCGTTAGAAAACAACTGATCAATAGTTTTGAATTTCATGGAGAAATGAAACTACTTGTTTCTCCTTGGCAGCAGTGGAGACAATGTCCAAAGTTTCAGAGTCAGCCTTTACTCCATATCTCTTCATGATAACTGGATCAGAGAACTCGCTCAAAGGGGTTAAAGCTACCAAAACAGTTAAAAAAACAATCAGAAAACAACTTATTTATTAAGCTAAAACTTGAATTAAGAGTTGATCTGGAGAAGAGAAGAGTGGGTACGTGAACCGGTGGCTTCCCAGAGCTGAATCTGATCGCCTTCGTCATAGTTATTTTCGGGTCGAACGGTGATGAGGATGAGATGATCCCCTTCCCGGATGATATTATCCACAGCCCATTTCAACGCTTTCCTGCTGCAATCTGAGAAATCCACTGCCACCCCGACTCTCCTTTCAGCCGCCATCTCTCTCTCTCTCTCTCTCTTCTCTACTCTACTCTCTTTTGTTTTTTCTTAGAAAATGTGATTGATAAATATATATAAATATAATGATTTTCATCATTATTTTTTTAAAATAATTATTGATATTTTTAGTGTCGAATTAATTTTTTATAGAAGTCTATTGTTAGTAATCCTCTTAATTTGTTTTAGTCATAAATATTAAAATTCAAACTTTTAACCCTTTTAAGAAATTTTATATCTTCTCTCATTATATCCACTATTTATGGACTCCGTAATTATTATTATTTTTTAAGTAAACTAAGGTGATTATAATGTAGTATATATTTTAAATAATTTCAATCATTTGATAGTAAACGCTCAATCACCTTGCTACAATTGCTAATGTTTAAACCCGTGACTTCTAGGAACAACAACGATTCCTTTAACCACTTAGGTAAATTGATTCATACATGGAATTCATAATTATTCTGTTAATAGAATGTTTAATCTTCTCATAACCCTAACACCTTTAATTAGTACTATAATTATACTTATAAAAATAACTATATTTTAATTTTAATTAGTGTAAGAGATTTGTTGTTATGTTATTGTTAAATGATTAATTTTTTTTGAATAAATATTAATTTATATGAACCACATGTTTATAAAAAAATATAATTACATTTTCAATATATTTAATATTATTTTAACAAATATGTATGAGATATTATATAAATTTATTATATGATTTATTTATACTAATTTAGCTTATTTTTATATTCGTCAAGAAAAACTTAGTTTTTTTTAGGATAAACTATATATTTAGTCGGCCAATTATTTGTGTGGTTTTATTTTGATTATATAATTTTTTTTTAAATATATATAATCTTACGCTTTAGTTTCATTTTAGTCTCACGTCGTTTTAAAATTAACAATCATATTGATGTATCACCATAAGATAATGTCGTGTCATTTTAAAAAAAATACAATGTTAGCAATTCTGTTAATTTTTTAAAGACAATTGGCCAAAACGAAATTAAAACACAATGTTAGACACAATTTTTTTAAATAGTTATATAGCCAAAACAGAATTGTATGAAATAATAAACAAACTAAATAATATAATTTACCCTATTATTTTCTAATATTATAATTTAAATAAAAAGATTTTTCAAGTGATAAATAACTTAATATCATTTAAATAAAATTTTAGATTTAAGTCCTTATATATGAAACAAATTTCGTTAAAAAATTTTAGATTTAAGTCCTTATAGATTCAAGTGATTTTCATCCTTATTTTCTAAATGTACAAAGATTAATTAGGATGAAGTTTTATAGCCTGAGGATAACAAAAAAAATCTCAGAATTTTTTTGTATTGTCCTTTTAAAAGTAAATACCTTAGCTTTATTCATTAACTTTTGAAAAAGGAATAAGACGTGAGCTTTAAAGAAAGGGCCAGAAACGGAGGGAAGTTTCTATACGGAGTCCACTGTTATGTGATGGGTCTGGTGTACAACTTTTTACGATTCTGACCCATTGACGGAGGAGTATAGGACTGTTTTCTTGATGTCGGGCAGTGACCCCACGTGTAAATTATTTATTTGAGGTGAATCTTTGTGAAGCTGGCCACTACCGAATGATTGTCTGGTTCATTGCAAGTTTATCACTTGTCTGAATAATGGTAAATTATATCATTGATCAATTAATTATTTAATTATTTTATTTTTATCACTAATCTATCAATTAGACAATTATATAGTCAATCAAATCATTAGCCGTTAACAGTTAATGAAAATATTGATGTGGTAGTTAAATATTTTGATATAATTATATATTTGTTCCTTTTATTTACATATGATTTCAATTTAATCATATTTTTAATAAATTAAAATAAATTTAATCATTCAATCGAATGATGTCAAGTGTCACACATGTCATCATTCAATTAGAGAATTAAATTTATTTTATATTTAGTTTCCACCGATGAGAGGGTGACACGTAAAACAAACCAATCAAAAGTGAGGAGATGTGTTTCAATCCAACGGTGCTTGGAAAATCAAGCATAAAACCCAACCACTTGGCTAAGATCACTTATCGATTTAAAGTATACAACATTATGTATATATTTTATATCTTGGTGTATAAATATTTAATTTAAATTAATAATGTAGCATCCTCAATATCGGGTTAGTGACCAAATTGTAATATTTTAGGAATTGGTGATTAAAATGGAATAGTTGAAAAGTTCAATCATTTATTTGGAAATATTACCTTAAAGATGCTATTAATTATAAAAGGTATTAAAGGGCAAAAAGGGTTAATTGACCAAGAAATGAATTAAAAATGGGATATGGTAAGGATATATACACGTGGGAAAGGAGAGATTTCTCCAGAGCTTTCTTTTTTCTTCTTCTTCTTCATACGTGAATGAGAGCCAAGCAAAGGTAAGCTTTCTGATCTATTGATTATTTGTTAATTTAAAGTTTGGGTTTTGATCGTTAGATGATAACTAAGCTTAAAGAAATCTTAAGTTATTTTAAAATCAAAAGATAAAGAGTTAGAGAAGATTAAAGATTTGGAGTTCTTGAATGAAATTTTGATATAGAATTGATAATTAGAATTGGAAGTTGGATTTGACTTGACATCAAACTAGTTAAGACATATGAAGTGTTAGAAGTGGAATTAAATCATGTTGCAAAGTTGGTATAATTCTTGAATCTCATAAGAATGATAGGATTTTGGGGTTTAAGATGAAATAGATGAGTATAGATTAGTTTAAATAGGTGTATAAGAGTTAAGAATAGAAAAAGGGATGAAATATGAAAAGTTGAGAGAATAAAGAAGGGATTTTCGTGCTCAAAGTATCATTTCTGGGTTGTGTGCATCGATGCATCTTCAATGTGCATCGATGCACTCTCAAATAAATGAACATCGAATGCAATTAGTGTATCGATGCATAAGGAGTGCATCGATGCATCTGCTTAAAATATAATCATCGAATAGGATTTATGCACCGATGCATGGATAGTGCATTGATGCACCTGTCAAGGGATGCATCGATACATGGTGTAGTGCATCGATGCATGCCTTCATTAAAAGATGAAAATGGCTTTCTTGTAGCCTATAAAGTGATAGCTTAGAATATATCAATTAGTATACTGATATGTATCAATGTATTACTATGTAGATTTAGAGCGTAATCTTGTTCCGGAATAATCGAAGAATTAGAATCAAAACAAAGAAAGCAAGGCTAAAGTGAGTGCAATTTCATTGTACTTATGTTATCGAATAAGCATTGGCTTGCAATGAGCCAGTGACGGAGTTACTATGGTAATAAGTAACTCTTAAAATGTTATTTGATTTGTGAATTCTATGTATGCATGAGTATATGTGACATGATTTATATGATTCATATGATATGTGATATTGATCTACAGGAATATATGAGAATATTATATCAGTTGTGTGATATGTTTGACATGTTATTTTATGTGATACGTGTTTACATGATCACAAGACATGAGTTATATGAAAGAGAAAGTATATGTGGTATGTGAAAGTGAATCAGATGTTTATATGAAAAGTGACATGAATTACATGAAAGTAAACTATGTGACTATATGCACATGTGATATGTGACAGAAGAAAAGTAATATTTGATCATAAGAGAAATGAAAGTATATAAGTGAAAATGCCCATGCTATGTGTATTGAGAGCTAGAGGTATAGTTGGCATGCCAAGAGTCGAGGGTTTACCTATGTTCTAAGGAATATATGGACAGTTTACCTAGGTTCTTCGGGACCTATGGACAGTTACCGAGGATCTTTATGACCTCTGGATAGTTACCGAGGATCTTTATGACATCTATATAGGTCCTTCGGGACATTTATACGAGCTGTGGTGACAACATAGTGGTGCACAACCTCAATAGACTCACGTATCTACAGTTCTCACATGATTACCATGGGCTAATAAGAGATAATATTAATAAACTGGATATGATGATATGTTTGTTTCCTTGTGAAATGTTATGTGTGATATATATAATGGTACAAATGGTAATTATAAGATTGTATGATAAAAAGGAATCAAGGATAGTTATAAGAATGAAGATGATGATATAATTGCTTGTGTGTATTTGATTTACGATAGGATATATGTTTTACATGCCATGCCATGATATATATATATATATATATATATATATATATATATGTTATATGGTATACGTGAGTACATGTTAAGGTATATGTGAATGAGTATAATTGATTGACATAAGGAGATAATAACAAATCTATAAGATATATGATATGGATATAAAAGATCATAGGAATAGGAGATAAGAGATATGAATGATAATGACATATATGTATGTATATACTTCTTACATGTAAAAATATATGAGTTGTGTGAAATGATGGTAGTAATTGTTTATGTATGATTACTAGTTAAAGTTACATTATATGTTTATTACCTCACTAAGTCTGTGACTTAGCATGTAAGTGATTTACACGTAGGTACCAAGAATCGGGAAGAACAAAAATAGAAGTGGCAAGAACAACATCACTGCTAGAAGATCATATCAGAGTAACTGTTAAAGTATGTATTTTGATGGTGTATAGTGTGTTGGCATGTAATAAAAGTGTTAGTTACAAATGCTCTGATAAGTTTTGTCTTGTTTTGGTTAACTCGTGTACAGTAACAATGTTATTTTAATAAAATTTTAAATTTCATTGGTTTTTGTTAAAAGTTTAAAGTTTGAAAAGTCAATGTGACACCTCAGACGTGTATCCGGGTCAGATACAGGTTGAGGGTGTTATATTTAATGGTATCAGAGCTACAGTTTAATCGATTCTCAGCATAAACCGAAGTCTAGAGTGTATTATAAAGTATACATCCTAACAAAATAGTGAAAACTTCTGATCTAATATAATAGTAAGTGTGTTGTTTTGCTGATATAATGATATGGGTATGTTTTTATAGATGTCCAGACATGATAGTTCTCGAAGTCAAGCGGGAGATGATCGGCCCACTGAAAATAGTAATTCACCTGCC